CTTGAGGTTGTTCTACACGGTAGTCAATCTTACACACTTAAGTAATTCTTCACATATTTCAGAATTTCATGTTATCAGTCGCTGGCTGTATTCTTTGCTGTTCCATTCGAGCTTTTTGACACTACTCTGATGGTTCTTGATAGTGTCTTTTCTGTTCCCTCCATTCAGTGATGTTTGCCTATGAACAGTGTCTCCTTTGCTTGGGACACCATCCCGATATTTGGTACGAGGCAGCTAGCTACTTGGAACAGGCTAGCAAGCTTCTGGCGGAGAAGGGTGTAAGTCCACCACTGTTGTATTGTTTTGTCCAATCTAATCGCCATACCCCGCGCCCACATTCCTGTCTCTCATTTCTTCATCCCCCCCCCCTCATTATTCTTCCAGGATCAGAATATGGCCCGGCAGTTTGCCGACGAAACGGCTGCTATGTATGAACGCGCCACTGCCCTGCTGAAGACTAACATTATGCTCTACTTCGCCTACGCAGACTACGAGGAGGGTCGCTGCAAGTACGCCAAAGTGCACTCAATCTACAAGAAGCTCATCTCTCTGGACGGCATCGATCCAACGCTGGTGGGCGATTGGTGCATTTTCTGTTTTCCCTGTCTCATGTTATTCTGATTGCACACCCTAAGAGGCGATTCTCAGGACCGCTGGAGTCAGTGAAAGAGAGCCTGGACAGAAGCAGTAGCCATCTAACCGATAACCCTGCGAGACGTTTTCCAGTTAGCCTTCGAGAGGCGGTGTTAATATTCAACAAGTTTTACACATGCTTGGTTTTTTGGCAAGGATGTAAGTCCACTGGAAGTGTGATCATATTAGTTTCATCCGTATGGCAGCTGAGCGAGGTAACTAACGGAGCCTACGGACGGTATTGACAATACTCGCGTTTATATCATTATTATGTTCTATTACTGTGGTGGGGTGCTTTAACAGACGTGTAGTCTGTAAAAAGAGGGGTGTGTGAAGGAGCTGAAAATGGGAAATTCCCCAAGCATTTCATTAAGTTCATTCATAACGTTAACCCTAATATACAGTGGAACCTCGGTTAACGAGGTTAAGCCGTTCCAGCACCGGACCCGTCATGTGAAACGCTCGTCTTGCGAAACGTAACCAGTCAAACTGCATCAGTTCATTGATTGGCTGCAGGCAATCGAGGGCCCGCGCCCTGGGAGTGGGAGTCAACAGTGGATACGGGCAGACACACACGCGCTTGAAAACTCGTTAACTGAGCGGAAGCTCGTCAAGCAAAACAACTTTTCTGCCAGTGGCTCGCTCTTCACCTAAAATGCTCGTCGCCCGAGGCTCCGCTGTATCATGCCCATCTCAATCTTGGGTATGATATTGTAATAAAAAGTAGGGACTTACATATTAACTTGCCGTAGTTTTTTTCAGAAAAGAATATCACTGACCAATTTGCCGTCGCTAGACAACCTTAGCCAGACCAGAAATATCTCTAAGTATACCCTGGGATTGTTTGTTTTCTGCCGCTTGCATTTCAGTCTGCTATTCTTTTTCGTTTCCATGCGCCGTTTCCGCGCCTTCTGCGTTAATATGAAACTCCCGCAGTCAGAAACCTAGTGTCCACCTTGCAAACTACCATCAAGTGCTCCGCGCTTTGCGTTCGTCTTAGGGCACGCGTTTCTGCTTCCGAATTTCTCATTTGCCTATAAAGAGCAAACACGATTGCATTTTACATTTTACATTTGCTTACCGAATCTATGCAGTCAGTGATCGATCTCATGCAGTGTTCACCAAACTTGCAAAATGTGTTGTAGAATAAAAATGCTTACCTAAGTAGAATTGTTATATTCTTCATCTAGTAGCAAATAATTCCAAGATATCTTGGACATGCCAAGATGCCAGCTTTTGAATAGTCGGTGTCATGTCACGTCTTACTCATGTTTTTTTTTATTCGGAGAAGGGATATAGTTGGGTTCCAAACAAGGGTTCCAATTTCCGAATAACTTTTAGCCGATCTGCCATTGCATTTACCTTTAGGGTTTTCATTCTGCAAGGAGGGGATATAATACATTCCTGCATATCATTAGAGAGTGTTTGTAAAATTTTTCAACGAATATGCACTATATCGTATACGCCAAAATTTTTCAACGAATGTGCACTTTATCATATACGCCATGAGGTGTATTAATAAACGTATAGAAACTGTGCTGTTTAAATGGATCTTCTGCAGTCTTAAAATGAGCATTGATTGGAACTGTTCATTTGCCTACACTTATAGCCGCTTTGTGGCGGCGGCGGCGGCGGCTGGGAGGGCTGGAGTATGACCACCAAGATAGAACGAGACGAGTGAGTTCCGTTAGCGATGGGCGAGCGTTCATTTACGAAAGTCTTAAAAATCTCCGTAATTAAAAACTTTCCTTAAAACTAAAATATAGCTCTTTTCGAGGGACAGCTTTGCCAAAGACTTGGTTGCCTAGCAAATGCGTACAGGATTGAATTTGTTTACTTTCGTTTTACATAAAATATATTTGCATCTGTAAGGGCATTATTAATCTGTTAAAAAATGCACTTTTCTTAATTATTCATTTTATATTGAATGAAGCTTTTCTAGGAGACCCAAAAATTCAAAATCTGGCATCCTGTTATGTCAGAAATATCTTTACACTACGCTCCTAAACAGTGGATATTCATATTCTATTTAAGTAATCTTTCCTAATCTAAAACGATTTTTAAAATGTTGATTAACCTGGCATGAAGTTGATCACTGACTGTACTTGTAGGCACAGTAGGTAGACATCTTTGATCCAAAACTTTGTGTATGCCATGCTCTCAAGCACTTTGAAGCATTCACTTGCATATTTTTCATTCTGCACAACTGTTCAAACCTAGAAGCTTTTCTAGAGTACGTGCCACCATGAGACCATTTTTTGGCAATCTGGCAACCACCCATAAGCATCTCTTATCAGGATTTCGTTGAGCGTAGTCTGTGTTAATAGCCGTGCGAGTCCAGTCCCTAAAAGGACTGAAATGTTCTTCTTGTGTACTTTTTTGATGATGTTGCTATGCCTCTGCCCTAATTTTGTTATCCACGGCATGCGAATTTATGTAGGCGACAAATGTGTCTTAGAACGTGTTCTCTCACCTCTAGCCCTCATCTCTGAATGTTTTTTTAAACCCAACTCTCTGCACGCTAACTTCCTGTGCTAGTAAAGTCTCCTCTTCAGCTTCTTCTCAAAATCACACACCTTTAGCGTCAGCAAATAGACTTTGCTAAATGCTGTCAGCATTTTAATTGTGAGCCAGATGTAAACTTAGTCCTGCTCTGCTCTACGAATTCGGTGTCTTCCGTCGGCATCCCATAAGTGAGAGTCCGTGTTCTGGTTTAAATTGGTGAGCGCTGTTGCCTTGTTGAGTTCGCTTGTCTGTTGGACTTCGCCTCATTCCGCTGATGCCCTTTGATTTTATTTCAGCCCTATATCCAGTACATGCGTTTCACTCGTCGCTGTGAGGGAATACTCTCGGCTCGCAGTGTTTTCAAGATGGCGCGTGACGATCCGCGCGTTGGCTACCAGGTGTACGTCAGCGCCGCGCTGATGGAGTACTACTGTAGCAAGGTAAGCTGGTTGCCAATGGACGCGAAAGAGATACTTTTTGTAGTTGTTTTGCTGGACCTAGACTGAAGTCTCCGACTCTTGGCGTGCACAGGAGTTTCCGATCCATACAAGATCTACAGTAGGGCTACGAACTCCTGCAACATGCTGAAGTTTGCCAAATGTTGACAATCACCCACGAACCGGCATTAACTTAGAAGTAATAATGAACAGAGTTGTTACTTAAAAAGAATATAAGTAGCACTAATTGTTAAGAAAAAGGAATTTTTCTTGATAATCCTCAAGTTCCGTTGCCGTAAAATATAGCTATAAGTTAGAACAATAAATTTAAGTCTTTCCATAAGTTAAACGTGTAACCACACCACTTTCTTCATATGAAAATAATTTTTCCTTAGTCAAAACATTTTAATTATATTGCTATTATCTAATTACAATTACCTACAGGCTTTGGTGCATAAATCCACATTCCCTTCGTCGTTTATATAAAGGCCTTTAAAATAGGATATCGATTAAATGGATTTACCGAAGAAATGAGTTTTTGGATATTAGTTCGTATGAAGGTGGCCATATAGGCCACATTTATAAAGTCCTCCAAACAGCAAAGCACATTGTCGAGAAAAAAGAACGTCCACAAAAAAGTCTGATATTGTTATTTTAAGATTTACAAAACATCTTTTTTATCTAATTAAAATTAGATATTCAGCTGACGAATTTCTGTGCATATTACCTTTTTCTGAGGTAATTTCAAAATAAAAACGGAGATTTTGGAAAGTTTTTAATTTGCCTGAAGATAAATGGTTCAATTTGACTAGAAAGGAATAGTGGATTACTTCCATGCTCTGTTCTAAGCTTGCGAATGCAATAAAGAGTGGCTATATATGTAGCAAGATTTTGATGTTAGTATTCGTCTTCTGTCTGTTCCGTTTCTAAATAATGCATAAGTGGAAATTATAGTGTACAATATGTATATTTCTGCATTACTTACATCTAATAAGCTCTGTTCTACATCATCTTCACCATAACATATATGGACAGTTTTGGTTACTTCCCAATTACTCGGTGCGGTAAAGCACAATGCGACCAAAGCTTTTTGTTACTGTATCTTGTAACAAAAAATTCACAGGTTAGCAAAAGAATAATTTTTAAAATTGAAATTCTTTCTTGTTTCTGGAAATAAATGGGATTCCTTAAAATTGGCTTCACTAACTTCGGAATAAATTTTCCGTTTCTGGAAGGCGTACGTTTTTAACTTCCCTTTCTTATTTTAGAGTTTTTGTATAGCATAATGCATATTAATAAAAAGTTTGATTCTGTCATACTTAATAGCATAGGAAATTCCTTCGAAATTAGAATATTCCCAATTTTGCCAAAATTAATGCCCATTACCCTTATTAAACCTAACTTAAGGGCTATTTTCTCGTCTAAAAGCTTTCCCGGGATTAAATCCACTCAGTAGAGCAAAATGGCGTGACCAGATATATGCTTAACTACCAAGTCAAATCTTGTCATGAAAGTTGCACTATTTCGTGGCCATACTGTAATACCACGGCAGTCTCATGGGCGCGATTTTGCTTCTGGAATGTTAGTGCTTCGTCAGTGAAATATCGTCTGGTTAGGATCCATATCAAATGCATGTTTACCTACTCCTCGTCTTCAAAATCAGCTTAAAATGCGACCTGCGTTTTTTTACGGCTGTGCTATGCATTCAGAGCCAAAACTGTTTCAGTTGGCCAAATTCCGTTTTTTTTTTTATAGTGTTTTTGCGCGCTTAGTCTGGATTTGTAATCAGAGCGTTTTGTTCCGTTTGGACTTGCCCATCCTGCCATCACCACTCACACTTACTTATTTTTGCATTGAATCTTTGAGGAGTGATAATTTAAGTAAAGTAGCCTATAGCTGTCTGCTCGCCGGAATCATGTTTCCATTCGTCTTAGCTTTAGAACTCTTCTTGGGGTTCATCAGCAATAAAAGCGGCAGTAATACAAGCCAACTTTATAGGAGGTAGGGAGCCAATTAGGCACCAGTAACGCCAGTCCGGTGGTGACTGTGCAGGGCTCTGTATGCCGGCGCCAAATAGATTAACTGCGTTCTTATTCGAGGTCTAGGCTTCGATCAATTAGCGACTTGTGTTGTTTCTGGCGTGGACGACTATCCTCTTGTCTGCGAAGTCTAATTCTTGACCCGTTTGGTAAGTGTGGGCAGTCACTTGTGATAATCCATCACCCTGTCTCACAGACAACAGTATGGTTTTCGTCGCCTTCTTGTAGGCAGTTATTTCTATTCCGCCCTTGGAGCTTCCCCTGACGAGCACATCAAGGAAGGGCAGCTGTTGTCCCTTTTCTTCTTACTCCGCGACTTCTAGAGCTGAGAAGATCGAATTAGGCTAATCGTGGAAATTCAGAAGTATATTCCTCTTGAGAATAACAAACGTGCCTTCCACTTGACGGTGTCAAAAGATCGGTGGCTGGTGGATAAAGACAACGTTTTGCAGCTCTTGTATTACTGATTCTGCCATTGAGCTAGAGATTGAGGAGTCCATTGGAGTTTCCTTTATCTACTCGTAGGTGTCTTCTACAAAGGTGAAGTAGGCTTTTTGGGAAGAGTCAAGCAGGTGTTTAACTTTTGAGTGAATTCCGGGTTTCGTTCTGTGACTTTTTCAATTTCCTACCTGAGAGTTTTTGTGTCAAATTCGGTGGACGTCCTTGAATATGTCGTGCTGCTAGGGGAGAGCAGCTGTGAGGTTTTTTGATTTTAGTTTTGTGTCAGGTTGGTCTTCAGGTAACGGAAACTTGTTAGAAGGGTCCGACCCTTTGCCACTCAACTGCCTGACTGCTTTTCCCGTCTTTGCGTGCAAAATCGCACACGGATGCCGCAACACGAACGAAATCAAGTACTTACTTAAACTGGGGACTAAGCACCCAGCCCTCGAAGATTTACTGAGATGTGGTCTCTGTACACACTACGGTTTCATGGGGCCACTAATCAGAGCCTAATGCAAGTGCTGGAGTTAGACATTTACTGCGGCTGTCATCCCGTCCAAACGCCTGTCTCCCTGAGGTTCCACATGTTGCCTTTACTGGTAGGCTTCATTGAGCTACATGCTGAAATGTCTACTTAAATTTGTGGACTGGTTGAAGATGGTAAACGCTTTCAAATGTCTGCCTTCTCATTTCACTGTTTATGGGTGCTGGTGTTGACTTGGTTGTTTGTTCTTGAGCCGTACAACCAGACATCGGAGCGCATTTTTGCTTTAACGTTAAAAGTAGTGTTACTCACCCAGTCCCGTGTGTGCACATTCTTTTCTTTCCTCTACTATTCTGGACTTACTGAGTCCTATTTTGTTCCCTCTCTTGCTAGGACACCACAATAGGCCACAAGATCTTCGAGCTAGGTATGAAGCGCTTCGCAAGCAATCCCGACTTTGTCCTCTGCTATGTCGACTACATGGCACACCTGAACGAGGACAACAACACCCGCGTCCTCTTTGAGCGTGCGCTGGGCACTGAACAGATCCAGTCTGAACGAGCTCGAGTGATCTGGGCACGATTTTTGCAGTTCGAACTTCAGGTATCACCTTACTCTATTTACGATTTCTACCTGTACCCGCTTTTCATGTTGCATAGTCTATCTAAAGGAGTTCATTTTTTTTTTTACCAATTTTAGGTTGGCGATTTGGCGAGCATCCTAAAAATCGAAAAGCGCCGTTTAAAGACGTTGGAGAATGTCAAGGAATTTCAGGGTCGAGAAACTGCTCTTCTCATAGATCGGTATAGGTTCCTTGATCTCTTCCCTTGTTCGGATTCAGAATTACGTTCGCTCAATTACAAGGTAGATACATTTATCAAATATGCTGTTTTTGTCCGCATTTAGTGCATTACGCTGCACTTCACTATCTCCTACTTCCCTGTAATTCCATATAACGTGTACTTGTGAAAAACCATCTGTTAGGTTACAATGCAAAAGAAATATTAAGAGTTAATCTACGCTGTTTAGAAATGGCAGCTCTTAGGTAAGGCCGGCATATGGAAAACTCGTGTGAAATGGCCATACTTTGTAGAATTTTGTAGTCTGTGTGCATAGAAGCAAGCAAGTAGATGAGACGGCCCAAGCGTATCGGCGCTTTAAACCCACTTTTAGCTTCTTATAGTATTAACTAACCTTTAAGAATTACTGTAATTTGCGGTATGACAACTAATCAACATCTTGCTATCTAAAAATTCTTTGATTTTGTAGGTAGAAACTTTGAAGAAATAAGTTTGCATGCCTAGAGGCTGACTACATAGTTAGGATACGTTTAGCGGATGCCACCACAACGTATAGTTTTTCTTATATCAGGAGAATTTTTCGTCTGTTAGATTACCACGTCCTTCTTGGCAGCAGCGGAGTTGTTGTGTGTGTGTGTGTGTGTGTGTTTGTGTCGTAGCCTATTGTTGGGTCAGGAATCCCCGCCGGAATCCAAACTGGGAGTGGTTAAGAGACGGAGAAAAGCCGAGACCTCGACCGGCTTGAGCCAAAGGTCCGCGGGA